GACCACTGTATGCAGAGAAACAGATGGACTACAGTCTGTAACTGTAGAACTACAAAGTGCTCCTATATAGTAAGTGGAGCTGATAAAATGACAGTGAGTGTGAAACAAGGAGGTGGTTTTAATGTTACGGCTGTTCAGTGTATATAAATATATTACCTAATAAGGAGAATGTTGCAGAAATTACTCACTAAAAAGTCGTTGTTGTTCCTTTTTTTATTCATATTTAATGTTTATCACCATATTTTACAATGGAAAACAGTACTGAGTACTAACAACATCTCGTATCCACACAAACCTGCATCCAAACACAATCCAGTCTCCTCCATTTTTCAGAATGCAGTTTGTAATATTCCTTGTCATTTCTTTATTTATTTCTTTTAATGGCACTTATTATGGGACAGATGTCATAATCTACATTACTGAATTTCATGTTGTGTGTAAATTCCAGCTCACTGACTTTAACAGCAGTGTGGCGTTGCAAAAAAAATCATCATGAAATAATCACCGGCTGTCGCTTTAAACACTCGCTGATCTAGCAGATCTAAACACTGTTTTAGGGGACACAGCCTCTGTGTCTCACAGATTGAGAAAATTTTTAGTAAGTAAATAAGCGACAAATTAAAGAATGCTGATATACACCGATCAGGCATAACATTATGGCCTTGTTTCTGTTAGCAATGAAATTAACAATGAAATTAAGATAAAACATCAAATATTGTGTTCTGTGTAGATTTCATCTTAATACAGGTCAAACAGAATTTACTAATCTCTGCTTTTCTTTGTATTTTTATTGGGATTTCACATACTGTACAGACATTTTTGGACTTGGGGTTATATTATTAGACCTTAATTCTGAATGTTTATTTTATTAATTTTATTATTAAATATATCTTCTACAGCTACCTATAAATTATTTGAAACATATGCACTACTAGCATCGCCTTGGGAGTGTTTTGTACATTTCTCTGTAACATAAATGGAAATAAACATAAAATTAGTTTTATATTCCTGAAAACAGTGATCCCAGACTTTCAGACAATGTAAAGTGTGGTTTATCCTGCTGTGCCCTTTTAAAAAAGATGGTTCTTCAAGGGTTCTATAGTAAGGAAAATGGTTCTATATAGAACCATGAACACTCAAAGAATTCTCTGTGTGATTAAAGGGTTCTTTGCATCATGAAAGTGTTCTTCAGATTGATGGAGAATGTACTGTAGATGGTTCTGTATAGAAGCTTTTTAAAAAGGGTTCTTCTTGTTAGAATATCAAGCTTGTTACAATAGAACCGTTTTTGGTTTTATATAGAACCATCTACAGTATATTCTCTATCAATCCGAAGAGCCCTTTTATGACACAAAGAACCCTTTAATCATACAAATTATTGTATTGTATTGTATTGGTTCTTCAGATTGCGCAGTGCTGAAGATGGTTCTTTATAGAACGTTTTTGAAAAGTGTTCTATTTAGCACCAAAACGGTTCCTCTTGTTACAATATTAAATTTGTTACAATAGAAGAACGCTTTTTGGTTTTAAATAGAACCATCTACAGTATATAGTACTCCTTCAATCTGAAGAACACTTTTACGATGCAAAGAACCATTTAATCATACAGAGAATTCCCTGAGTGTTCTTAGGAGTGTAGTGTTCCATGAACCTTCAGAGAACCCTTTGCATGACTAAAGGGTTTTTGCATGGTGACATGGTTCTTCAGACTGGAGAATTTGTTGTATGTGGTTCTACATAGAACCAAAAAGGGTTCTTCTGTTGTAACAAGCCTGATATTCTAACAATAGCAGAACCCTTTTTGGGGCTATATAAAATCATTTTCAAAAAGGTTCTATATAGAACCATCTACAGCGCATTCTTCATCCTTTGAGTGTTCCTAGTATTATATAAAAACATTTTTCTTTACTAAAGAACCCTTGAAGAACCATCATTTTAAGTGTGTAACAATAGAACCTTTTTTGGTGCTATATAGAACCCTTTTCAAAAAGGCTCATCTACAGCATATTCTCCATCAATCTGAAGAAACCTTTAGTCATGCAAAGGGTTCTTTGAGTGTTCATGGTTCTATATAGAACCATATTCTTCACCAAAGAACCCCCAAAGAACCATCTTTTTTTAAGTGTGCACATTGAAACATTAGTAATAATAGTTACATTTACTGAATTGAACTGGCCTTGAACTTAAAAATGGAGCAGGTTTTTTGTTTTAATATTTCATTTTTATTATGTATTTAAAGTATGAACAGAAATCCTTGCAGAACCTCAAACAGGGATTTCAAATGCACTTATGAAACACATAAACATACAGCCTTCTCTCGAGCAGTGAGTACACGAGCACATCAGGAGAGCAGCAGGGCGTGTCTTCTGCCAGTCTTCCCGGGACATGATATCCTCCTTATCAGGCAGCTTCAACTGCCAGCTGATCGCAGACACAATGTCCATTTCACCCTCAGAGGAGTCAACACGGCCTCACGACTGTCGGAAAGGTTAGTCTCCTTAAACTGAACCTGTTTGGGAGCGTATAAAATCCTAAAGAGCTCTGCTCTACAGTCTAAAAACACAAACCATCACAGAGACGAAGACGTTCTGTACTAAAAAGCGATAAACCGTGTAAAAAACAACTCATATTTCACAGTTTTAATACAAACTCCCTGTTCTACGTTATTGAACTTGGTGCAAAACAGGCTGGAAAGCTGTGCTGGCCTTGTTTGAAACATTTCCAGTAACTCAGGAACATTAAGGCAATATTTATACATGTCAAAATAAATTAGATCCAAAAACTTAAGATTAAATACATGTTTAAAGATCTGATACACACAGATTTTCCCTGGGCAGCCAAATTCAGAAATCATAACACATTCACATTACACATTTATCTCTGTACAGTCGTACGCAAGGTTTAAATGTGCCCAGTCTAAATAAAAGCTTTGTTGATTTTATAGGTGAAAATGAATTAACAGATCATCTACAGAGACACAAATATGCCTTTTTAATGAAAGTTTTAATGCACAGATTCTATTTATTTAACATACTGTAAAAAAAAAAGTGTAAAATAAAAAATGAGCCATAACTTCAACACAGGCCATGTTTTATTTTATATGTTAAATTCAGAAAAACAAAAACAGGAAGTGTGTATTAAGAGTGTGTTAAAATCTGTGTCTCTGTAGAGGACGTGCAACTTATTTACACTTATTTACACTCAACAAAGGCCTGTTATTCGACCAGGGGTGTGCAAACTTTCACATACGACTGTATCTCAATGAAACATTTCCCAGATTTGACCTGTTGACCTCTCTGATGGCCAGATTTTGATTCTCAGTCTACAACAAGGCAACTGGAGCAAACCTATTCAAGTTATTACACAAAGAAATGTGGAATTTTTATTTGAATTAATTATAGAAATGAACACAAATAATATTTCTATATTATCACTATCGTATCTCTGAAATGGAAACCTTAAACTTTCTTAACCCTTGTGTGGTGTTCAGGTCTGTGGGACCCATTTTCAATGTTTACCAAAAGAAAAAATGATGTGATTTATTATTATTTCAGTGTCACGATGTGTATCACAATATTTTATTTTCTATTGTTTAAAAAGTTGGAACAGTGAAAAGAAGCACACTTTAAAAATATGGTAAAACTTTACCTGAGCTCTGCTACATAACATTGACATAAACATGCCATAAACATGTCATAGCATGACAGAGTTTATTCAGTATAGCAGTGTTATGTTACCATTACTGGTAACTGTCATGACAGATGTCATAACGTTTGATGTTGTGATGGCTAACTAGGGCACACACCAACATCTGGCAGGGGAAGTTGTCATAAAATCAAACATCTTTCATGACAGTTACTTCGTAATGGTTCCAAGACAGTGTTACGTTATTGAACAGAATCTGCTGACATCTGCTATGTCATGTTTATGGCATGCTTATGTCAGTGTCATGTAGCAGGATTCAAGTAAAGTGTTACCTAATATACTCTCAGAAACTGTGACTACATTTTTTTGCATTCAGCGTTTCACTTGGTCACTGTTGTTCTTTAAGTACTGACGATTTCCACAGTGTACTCAGAAAAGCCCAATGTGAGGTGATATGATTTATCATTTTATCATATTTCCCATCTTTTACTTTGGACCATATCTGTTCTAAAATGTGTTGTCATAATAAAATGGTGTGAAAACAAAACAAAACAAAAGGAATTTTAAAGTTTTTTGACAGCACCGATATCATATTTGGTAACGCTTTCTTTTACAGTTCTAGGGACAGTCTTATGCAAAAGTTTTGGCGCCTTAGTAAAATGACATGTTTAGCTGATTTTCGTGACAATAAGTCAACATATCCTCTAGAGAGAATGGGGGGGGTTGTTTGGGCCAGTTGAGGGTGATAACACTACAATTATTCTCCGCTCCTGCTTTCCTGTGGGAGAAGGAACCGAACCGGTGAACATCTCTGTGTGAAGACGTCTTGAAATAAATCTAACCTTCTCCTCAGAAGCTGCGCCACTCTGTCTAGTTTATTCTCAATAACTTCTACAACGACTTCACAATCAACAGTGCCCAAACTTTTGCATATAACTGCACTTACAAGGTAAGTGTGACCTACAAACTGCATTGAAAAATTACACTGAAACGCTCAACAGGTTCTAGGTATTGACTGAGTAAGTGTGGGGTACAAACTTTAAAGTATGGTGTAATTATTTCGGATAAAATGATAAGTACCAAGACATTTTAACTAAATAACACTAAGCAGGTTTCAGCTATTAAGCTGATAACGGACATGGAAAAATACCTTACAATTATTTGTAGTAGCAAGGCTGTAAGTATGTGCATATCACTGTTGTCGGATGAAAACCTTGTATCTCCATTTTGTCGTTTTTCAGTTTCTGACATATTTTGAAAATGACTGTTGTCCTTTACATTGTGTGTAAATTTCATGAAGAATGGACTAAAAGAAAACACCCCAAATGACTTGGAAAAAAGTCTGGTTCCATTGATTTACATTAAAAGTAAAGGTTTTTTTCCTTCTCCTGTAAAGTTACCATTTTGGAGATACAAGGTTTTCTTCCAACAACAGCGATATGGTAAATTTCACTGGAATTTCACAAATTTAAGCTGGAAAGTAAATCAGGGACACCTCCAAGTACCGCATTAATTAATGGTGCACAATGACATCACAAAATACAGAGATTTTTTTTATAAAGATTTCTAAAATAAATAGTAAGTCTCCAGCAAAACCCTAGTAAGAATCACCGCTTTCTTTTAGAGCCCAGAGTCATTGTCGTTTACAGGTAACAGACAGGTACATGCTATGTAAAACTTTTTTGTACTTCATTTGTGTACAATCTTTTTACCCAAAGTACCCAAAGTAGTTACACAATACCGTGGAGTTTGTACCACTTATTTACCCAGTTAATACCTAGAACCTGTTGGGCAGTTAAGACTTCCTCAGAACCTACCATCATGTTACCCAAATTGATTACCTAGAGTTTATGAGACTGGAAAGGAACGCGCTACCTGATATTTTGGTTACATTCCTCAGAATAAAATGGCAGATATGTATTTGAAACAAAGGAACCTGCAGCTAAACAGTTACTTTTGTGGAGCTCAGATTATATTATTATCTTTACTCATATCCTCTTTTACCTCGAGGGGTAGAGAGTCAAAAAGATGATCCTCCACAACCAACAGGCTTTTCTTGAGATGGCGACACTGGCCAAGCTGGTATGGAAGCAGTGCTAGACAGTTCCCTTTTAGCTCGAGCTGAGTGAGCTGTACCAGCTGTCCGATAGACTCTGGTAGGATTGTGATGCTATTGTTTCCCAAACAGAGAACTTTCAATTTGGTACATCTGAACAGATTATTGGGAAGAACCTCTATTTTATTGTTTGTGATAGCAAAGTGCTGAAGGTTCTGGAGAAGTCCAACCTCAGCTGGAATCAATGAAATGGAATTGTGGCTGAGATCCAGGTGCCTAAGCTTCGGAAGGTTAAACAGGGCCACTGGAAGGGTCTCCAGTTTGTTGTAGGAGAGGTAGAGGGACTCGAGGTTCTTCACCTGGCCTATGGACTGCGGAATAGCTATTATATTGTTGTGCCACAGCTTGAGGCAGGTCAGTCTCTTAAGGTGCTGGAAGCTGATGACTTCCTCGATGGTGCGAATGCTGTTGGATTTCAAGTCCAGCTCTTGCAGGTTAGTCAAGCTGAAAATGGAATGCGGGATCCTCTCCAGCTCGCAGTTATGGAGCTCCAGGTCGACCAGGTTCGTCATCTTCTTAAGACTGTTCAGCACCACAAGTTTCGTTCCGTCATTGTGCACCACCAGCTTGAGGAGATGTGGCGAGAGTTCTGTGATGGTCGAGGGTATTTTGTGGAGATTGCTCTTCAGGTATAACGTCTTGAGACGCCTCAAATCCTTTAGGGATTCCAAACCGATCATCTTGTTGTGCTCTGAGCTTAGGTTGCCAACAAGGTACAGCTCCCTAAGGCTTCTCAAGAGATAAACCCACGGAGGGATTTCTGCAACATCTGTAAACTTTACATGAAGGCACCGCAGGTGATCTCGAAGGAAAGTGAAAGCCGTATGTTTGACCTTTGCAGGAGAGTGATACAAGTGCAGTTCTTGCAAATTTGTCATTTGTAAAATCTTGGCTGAGAGTCTCACCTCAGGAATAAGTTCTAATTTAAGGACTTCAAGCTCAGTGATGTCAAACACGGCACTGGGGAGTCCGGCAAGCATGAAAAGATGCAGCTCCTGCTTGTCTTGGGCATTGGAGGTCACGTGCTGCCGGAGTTTCTCGAACGTCCATTCATGATTAAGGCTAATTTCCCGCAGTTTGTTCTCGCTGACTTCAGACAGGAAAACGGCAAATCGTTTTGAGTGCAACTGGTCATATTGGTCGACCATATGCAGGAGAAACGCAAAGTCATTTTTGACGTCAGGGATGTCACTGAAGCTGCTCTCCTCTCTGACTTTTTCAAACGAATACTCCTTTAGTGGACGGCGGAACAGCCAGAAGAGGGCATACAGGCACACAAGGCCATAAAGGCTAATTATAGCCAAGAACGTGAAGAGGAGTTTTTTCAGCATGAATGCCATATTATGAGTGCAGTAGAATTGATCATATCCTGTTAGGTGTTCAATTTGTGGTTGGCAAATGTGGATGAAATTGATGTCAATGGCAAAAGTGGACGTGAAGCACAGGATAAAAACGAGCTTTACTGCTTTTATGGTTGTTTGTGCCACATAGAGATTGTAGATCAAGTCGCTATCCTCCACGTGAGCCCGAAACGTTCGCACCTTCTCAAAAAGAGCCTTGGCCTGCTCCCCATCTTTTTTGTCCAAAATGGTCAAGCTCGGGCCTTCAGGAACAACCTTCTCAGCAGAAAATCTGACCTCGTTGTTATCTAGTATAGGTGTTGTTACACTGGAGCAGCCATCCTCCTGACTGTCCGTGGAGACTTGCTTAGATGCCGTTTGGCCAGCGATGATCCTTTGCTTGTTTTCTTCAGAGTCCTCACAGACCGTTTCAGAAAGTGCTTTCGTAGTCCAGGGTGATTCAAAGCAACGGCCCAAGATGGACACAAAGTGTTCGATCTTTGAGCTGGTCTTTGGGTATCTGAACCAAAAATTGCTGCTCACCATCAGCAATATGGTGTAGATGAGGACAAGGGGAGGAAAATACTTGGAATACCAAGGCAAGGCAATATGGTAACACATCTGGTTGACAAAAATGTACTGCTGGAAGTCTAAGTTTGTTCGTCGGCCTTTGGGTTGAGGTTCTGTTGAGGTAAGGGCACTTTGGCTCCAAACTGGAGCACGCTCAGTCTGATGCATTTCATGCACAACGTTGTCAGGAAGATCTTGAGTGGCCACAGGTGCAGTACCAAGTGATGACGTGAATTGCGTAGGGCTCTGTGTTGTGTGGGGGGTTGTACTCTCCTCTAGAATAGGAAGACATGCCAGTTGGTCTTTGGTTAACTGCATAGTCCCAGCAAAAATGGCCAACATCAACATGACCACCCCGAGATAGTCCATAAAGACGTCCCACCATGGCTTCAGTATCCGGTAGGTTGGCAGTATGTCATTAAACGATACAACTTCTGTGAGAGTAAACATCTCTGCAATAAAACAAAGACACAATTTATGACATTTTTTAACATCACATTGAAGCTGGTTCTTTAAAATGTGGATCTAATCATATAATTGTATAATTACAATATATTATTTGATTATGTGTTTATTAACTCCAGAAAAGCAGAATGTAGGTGACGGTTTTATTGATTTTCCTGTTTTTGTAACTCTACACATATAAATGTTATACTTGTGCCAGTTTGGCTTTGATTTGTTGTCGTAGTCCTACATTAGCATAAAAGCTACTGTCTGTTGTTGTGTCGAGTAGCCTTGGGTCGATAATTATTATCAAATATCGCAATAATTTAAATATGCGCCGATGTTATGAAAATGATCGTCCTTGTGCTCCCTTTCTTGTGCCACCTCTTTTTTTTTATTGCTTTGCCTTTATTTATTCTTTTGAACAATCATTCTAATCTTTGGTTCATTTAAAATCGTATACAATAGAAAAGACTGAACTTAATTATAGGCTAAAACAGAACATCCCAATAATCAACTAAACATACACATACTTTGAACGGCACTTGGAAAGATTATGCAGATTTTACATCTGAGAATGTTGGCGAATATGCAAATAAAGCAATGAAAGTGGATGTTAACGGTGTTACAGGCCGTCGTTGCTGACTATAGTTACATCAGTTCAGTAATATCAGAAGTTAGCTCAGTTTTTAATTATATAGTAATTATATAACCATCAGAAAAAATGTGAGCTATAATAAAAGACTCTTTAACGCTCACATGTGGTACTGCGTTACTCAGTTTTAATCACAACAACATTGTTTATCACACATTTAAGTTACTAACAAGAACAAAACTAAACAAACTGTCTAAAAACTCCAAATGCAGCAGAACTGCAAACTTAAGATTATCAAATATCCAGAAATCCAGTCCCTCAAGGCACCAAATCTGTCTCTATAATGTACACAGGAAACTCTCTGCTTCAGTAAATATTTCACAGACAGCCTGGTTCACGTTACATGCGTCTACACGCACTTATTGCAAAACACAAAGAGAAGCAAAAATCCTCCAAGGTCACGTGTTGCTCTACACTGCAGTGCAGAAGGCTGTACAGTAAGAAAAGATTCATCGCTCAGTCACCTCCAACACAAATGCATTAAATACCACTGAAACGCATTTTTTTGCCCCGAAGATTTAAAGTAATCAACTGAAATGAAGATATCAGTTGCTTCTCTTGTAAGTTATGATGTACTGAAACGTTATAACTGACTGAAATTGAAATAACAGACAAAGCATTTTAAATGAACTGTGGACCTGAACACAGTCTATGCTCACTCCGTACTTTAAACCAAGTAACAGGTTAAACTGCAGACAAGCCGTATGCCACTCGACCACATTGGGTAGGGAGCCCTTAAGGGGAGTTTTACAATTTTTTTTGCAAAAAATTCTGCATAATTGAAGTTTGAGACGTTACAAAAGTCATTCAGAGTGGTTTGGTGTGAACTGGTTCAGATTTCTTTACAGTGGTGGTGATAGGAACCAGGGGTCGCCATGACTACAACACAAATATAGACATTTTATTTATTATCTAAAACCACCAGTGAACCTACACGAGTCCTCTGGGTTTATATGGAATGTTGATGATGGTAAAATAGTCATAAATCTGAAATAATACGTTTTCTTTGGCCTCACAACGCCCCGCATGTATCCCTCCACCATGAATAGGTTTTTAAAAATACATTTTAGGCCAACAACTTATCTTAAACTGTGGTTAAACACAGCTGTGGGCATCAGACAATGCATTTGTAACTGTTCTGCGCAGTAAGGTAGCTTTTAAGGTCACTAAACACTTTGGACACCTGGTTCTTATTATCAGTGTAGAACTGTAGAACAGAGCATTTCACAGGAAACCACTCTGAATGACTCTGATTACATCCAAACCACTTAATTATGCAGAAATCTGGAAGATCTGTGGAATTTCCCTTTCAATGAATACTGTAGGTGTTAATTTAAAACTGGGGATTTTGCTCTATTGTTAGTAGGAGGACTTGAAACTGCAGCCTAACCAGCTCCAAAAGCATTTATTCATATTTATAAATGTAGTTAACACGCCGTCTGCATCACCACCTTAACTGTAAAGTCTTAATACGTTTAACTACACAGCACAGTCCTCAGTGTTACTTTAACACAGTGTTGAATTTCACATACAGTACATATGGTACGGTACAGTGTTAAATTCAATTCAATTTCATTCAATTTCTCACTCATATATGCAGAACTGGTATTAGTTTCATAATAATTATTTCATAATAAGATGTTTTAAGAGTAAGAATTAAATAATGAACCTTTAATGACTTACTACCTAGATAGTATTGAATTAACACAGTATTGTAACACCTGTACAGACCTGCATTAACATATATACAGTATTAATTAACATCTGCTGTTGCATTAACAGCTCAAATATTACATTAGCACTAATAAAAGTGAAATGAAACACCTGCAGTGTTGCATTAATAGTTATAGTGTTGTATTAACACCAATACAGTGTTGAACGAACACCTGCAGTGTTGCATTAATAGTTATAGTATTGTATTAACACAGTTCCAGTGTTGCATTAACACCTGCAGTGTTGCATTAATAATTATAGTATCGTATTAACACCACTACAGTGTTGAATTAACACCTGCAGTGTTGTATTAATAGGTATAGTATCGTATTAACCCCACTACAGTGTTGAACTAACACCTGCAGTGTTGCATTAATGGTTATAGTATCATATTAATATCTCTACAGTGTTGAATTAACACCTGCAGTGTTGCATTAATGGTTATAGTATCATATTAATATCTCTACAGTGTTGAATTAACACCTGCAGTGTTGCATTAATGGTTATAGTATTGTATTAACACCTCAACAGTGTTGATTTAACACCTGCAGTGTTGCATTAAGTTATAATATCATATTAACCCCACTACAGTATTGAATAAACACATGCAGTGTTGCATTAATAGTTATACTAGCGTATTAACAGTGCTGAATAAATTAATATTAATAGAATCATATAAACACCTCTACAGTGTTAAATGAACACCTCCAGTGTTGAATTTACTCCCATGCAGTGTTAAGTTACCACCAGCAGTACTACATTTACAAATGCAATACTGAATTAACATGTACAGTACTGTGCAAAAGTCTGAGACCACCTCATTTATTTAATTTAAAGTCAAAACAGCCATTAAGTGCAAGTTATTTGTTTTTTTTCCCACAAGATATTTCAGAGATTAGATGTAAGATAATGCACTTGCACAAAAAAAGGAAAAAATGTGAACCATGCAAAACCTGGGAGGACCATCAAAACTGTCCCTATCAGATAAACAGCACTTAAAGGGCCCATATCCTACATTTCTTGTGTTCATTTCCCCCCCTTGTGATCCACTTATGATGTTTGTGTGCTTTTATCTACCAAAAAACATTCATAATTCATTTTTAGATGATCATTTTCCAAAATCTCTTTATCCCTTACATTTAAACAGGCTGTTTTGTGAGTGGGCGGGGCTAAACTGCTGAAGGCTGAGTAGGTAGGTATATGTACACAAGGTTTCTATGACATCACAAATTGGGCTGTTTTTTGCAGTTTATTTTCTATATATGGACTGAGTTATAATTAATAATAATAATAATAATTTTTCTTTATATAGCACTTTTCATGTCGGTGGCAGCTCAAACTGCTTTACATACATGTGATAAAAGACAGTTATACAAGAAATTAGTTATGGACTGAGTTTCCATATATGGACAATATTTACATGTTACATCGAACTCTGCACCAAAAATCTGGAACACATTACCAATAAACACCCATCAGTTAAAAACATATTTCTTTACTTCAGCTTTAACTAGTTTTTTTTTATTGTTTCCTTTTTTTACTGGAATATTATATAAGAAAATAGTACTTTAATTTTCTTCTTAGCTGCATTTTTTTCTTTTTTCTTTATACTTTCATCTTGTGCTTTTTAATTGTAATTATTAATGCATCCCCTTTTTCTGTTATTTGTTTATTTTATTTTTTATCTTTTTCTCTTCTTCCTCTGTAGTTTTTACTTTGTATTGTGAAGCACGTTGAGCTGCATTTTTAATGTATGAAAGGTGCAATAAAAATACCCATTATTATTAGTACTATTGCTATTATTATTACGTATTATTACTATAATTATTACTATAAATTTACAAAAAATTGAGGAAAATTCCACAACAGCATGGTTTCCTGTGATATGAGCCCTTTAATGCCTTCATCTTTGAGAGACAGGAGAAGATCAAGCTCCACTCTTCCACAGCTGAACGCTGTGAGTCTGAGAAAAGGAAATAAGACAAAAAAAGAAGAATATTTGCAGCAGAACACAAAAAACTGGACAATATGGACTGATGAGACAGAATTACTTGGATTGTGAGAAGCACAAAAAGCTAAACCAACTTCTAAGACTGAACTTTGGAGGTGGATCTGTAGATTTCTTTAAGAAACTGAAAGTGAGCCGCCTGAAAAGAATGGAAGCTGTAATAAAGGTAAAGCGTAGTTACCCTAAATACTGACGAAATATGATATTATCTTTAGTTGTGGGTCTTCTTTGTCATTTTCCGTTAAATATACGCTTTCTGCCCTTTTTTCTGATGCTGAAAAATGAATAACTCATACTTAATGGCAGTTTTGACTGGAAATTAAATAAATGAAAGGGTGGCTCTGACTTTCCACCTACAGCTGGGTCCAGGTTTCTCAGACCTATAGAGGCCGTATTGTGTCTGAGATCCAGTGAAGATCTGAGGAGAAGCTGAACACGCTGGTGTGAAATATGAGGCAGAGCTGATAATGACGGTCCAGAGATCCTGTGCCACATTTCGACCTCTGAAACTACTACTCTCTTAAAAAGATGGTTCTTCAAGGGTTCTGTAGTACATACTTCATGTGCTGTAGACGTGCCGACTCGCCTCCTAATGTGGTACAATGTTAAAGATGGTTCTTCAAGGGTTCTGTAGTACATACTTCATGTGCTGTAGATGTGCTGACTCACCTCCTAATGTGGTACACTCTTAAAGATGGTTCTTCAATGGGTTCTTTAGTAAAGACAAAGGTTCTGTTTAGAGCCATGAGTTTTATATAAAACCATCTGCATGCTTAAATGGTTCTTTGCATGGTGAAACTGTTCTTAAGATTGGTGGAGATTGTGTTGTATATGGTTCTGTATAGAACTTTTGTGAAAACGGCATCATAACAAGAGTAGAACCCTTTTTGATGCTATATAGAACCATATGTAACACATTATCCATCAATCTGAAGAACTGTTTCACCATGCAAAAAAACATCTAAGCATGCAGATGGTTCTATACAGAACTCATGGTTCTAAACAGGACCTTTGACTTTACTACAGAACCCTAGATGTGCCAACTTGCCTTTTAATGTGGTACACTGCTACAACATGGTTCTACAGGGGTTCTGTAGTACATACATGTGCTGTAGACGTGGTTCTTCAAGGGTTCTGCAGTACATACATGTGCTGTAGACGTGCCGACTCGCCTCCTAATGTGGTACACTGTTAAAGATGGTTCTTCAAGAGTTCTGTAGTACATACTACATGTGCTGTAGACGTGCCGACTTGGCTACTAGTGCAGTACACTCTTAAAGATGGTTCTTCAAGGGTTCTCCATCAATCCGAAGAACTGTTTCACCATGCAAAGAACTATTTAAGCATACAGATGGTTCTGTATAGAACTCCGGGTTCTAGAGGCCTTTTTAAGAGTGTACATTACTTCAGTGTTGGCCACTGTCAGTGGAAAAGAGGACCCTCCGGCTAATTAGAAGGTAGATTAAAAAAGCAAATATGGGCTCAGATGGAGGAACATTTCTCCTCTTTCATCTGTCTAGAACACCGGAAGGAACACACCTAGTTTCAACACTGCTGTTTTTTTAGTGAAGTGCATCAAATGCAGGCTAATAATTACATAGAAGCAGAGCCTGCATAAGAGCAGGAGGCAGATTCAGCCTGTTTTCTTTCCACAATGGTTAAAGCACCACTAAAAAACTAGATTACAGCCGTTTTATTTAGATCCAGTCCACAAATTAAAGGAAAGTAAAGTCAGATCTTAAGAAAAAGTCGGTTAGTAACATGAGAAATGCATTAGTAATGACGAGGCTGCAGATGGCTTCCATATTCCCCAACTTCGTTTTCGAACTCTCCGTTCCACCTTAAATGGGCAGCAGTTGCATTCTAGCGCCTCAGGCGCTAGAATGCAACTGCTGCCCATTTAAGGTGGAACGGAGAGTTCCATAAAGAAGCTAGGAAGCGGATCACTTACCGTGGTGGATTTTGTTCCCGGGCTGTCACACTACATCCAGAGAGGGCTGAACGTCACAGGACGATGAAATTTAGTGGACAAAAACTGCCACAGAAAAAGTCCCAAGGACCTGCTGGCTGGCCCTGACCAGTTTCCATGCAGCCCAAACCGGGCACACTTTCAGTTCACCAACGTGGGGAAACGTCCGTCTGTTTATATACGGCTGTTTTTCCTCGCCGCTGGGGGGCGCTGCGCCTCTCACCCGCCTCTCCACATGATAAACAACTTCGACCAACGTCCAAAGCTGTCAAGTGAGGAGCTTTTTTGTACTTTGCCTCCATCATTCAGGCGCCCTGGCCGTTTTTTATTTAAAGGGCAACTCCAGCAATTTTTCAAAATTTCTGCATAATTAAATGGTTAAGATGTAAACAGTCATTCAGAGTGGTTTGGTGTGAAACGCTCTGTTCTAGATTAAATTACTGAGTCAGAATTGTTCACAGTGGTGGTGATAGGAACCAGATGTCCACCTCTAAAGGCTCCTTCACATGAAGTGGTTATGAAGATGCTGCCTGATGTCTG